GGGTTGGGGCAATCAGGCAGGCAGGCATAGGTAGTTAGGGGAGATCAGGCAGGCAGGCAGGTGAGCGGTTAGGAGCCAGCTGTCCCAGATTGCGTGAGGGATGTCCCACAGGGATCGGGCCTAAACCAGCAGTTGGACAACCCCCAAGGGGTCCCTGATTGGAGAGGGTGCAGGCTAGGGTGAGAGAACCCCCTCTTTGTGCACAAATTTCGTGCACCAGGCCACTAGTTATATAATAATCTATATCTATAAAAACCTAAGTGATTGGTGGACTGGCTGACTGGCCGGTAGCTATGACGCACAGTGACCACCATGGGGCGGACACTCAACACAGGCATGGAAACATGGAACAGACTGATCAGTCTCAGAGGGAAGGGGGTGGGGGGAGGACAGGAAGACATTAAGATCTTATATGTATATGCATACTAAAGGCCCGGTACACGGATTTGTGCACCAGTGGGGTCCCTCAGACTGGCCTGCAGGGATTGGGCCGAAACAGGCAGTCCGACATCCCGCGAGTGGTCCCAGATTGCGAGAGGGCGCGGGCCAGGCTGAGGGACCGCACCAGCACCGGGCCTCTAGTATATGTATAAAAGCCTAATATGCAAAGTGTCCTCTTGGGAGTTCAACTGGGAGTTCAATTGTTTGCTTTGATGTGCGCTGACCACCGGGGGGCGGCGCGGAGCGATGGAAGGCCCCGACCAGCAGCCAGAGAAGGGAGGCTCCAGCTGGCAGCCAGAAGGCCCCGATCAGCCCTGATTGCCAGGCAGACCTAGGGACCCTACTCGAGTACGAATTTCATGCACCAGGCCTCTATGTTATATGATAGAGACATTATGCTAAGGCCAAACTTAAAGGTTGGAAGGGTTACCTCTAGTGAGGTGTTGAAGTAGCAGAGCTTCATGAGAAAGATGGCATTTAAAATGGATCTTGAGTAACTGATAGAATTTATACAGTGACATGGATGAAGTTAAGATTTCCTAGAAGGGAAAGGATGAACTATCAAGCAAGTGAGGCAGTTGGGAGAATTCAGGGCGTGTCCTGAAAGCAGAAATGCCCCTCAATAAACTCATATTTCCACCATACCCCACACCACCTTCTCTGGGCAATTACCTAAATTGGTGAAAGATGTTATCTATTTTTGTTCATATGCTCCCTTCCTCTCCATCACCTCCACCTAAGAAGATAGTTGTCTTTCAAATTAGACACTTGATGACTTAACTACTCGAGTTAACTAATCCTGCATTCTGAATATCACTGTTCTCTCCACCCCTATGCTCTACACACACTAGGTGCATACTTCCTGAGAGCCAGAGAAGTATATTTTATTTTAATCAGTTTGGCCTGTTCAACCTTTTAGTATTGTCCCTGACACCTAGTAAATCCGCAGTTTATTTCAGGGCATGGGGTGGTAAATAAGTGATCCTGATTACAACCATTTCCAACTAAATTGAAAATTTTTTGAAATATGAACTTTTGAAATAGATGTCTGAAACTTTGCAAATACCAGCATTTGTGAATACTCCTGTAGCATGTAATTTTCTCACTTGGAAAGTTGGGGTTAATGAGGAATGAATGAAATTAAATTTTCATGCTTAGTACATTTTAAGATGTACTTAAACATTTTTCATTTTTCCAAAAAGGTACTTAGAATTCAAAGGAAGTGCACAATTTAACCCCAGAACAAATTTTAGTATTAAAAAATAGTTGCATACCAAAAACTCACCCAATTGTTTACACTTGGGGGGTTAGACATCACATTCTTTTTTTCCAAGCAATAACTGGCAGCCGTTGGGATCCGTACTCTAGTTCCCTCACACCCAGGACAAGATGACCGAGGAATGTTCCACACTGTCTCCTAGAGATTCCCAGCAGGATCAAATGCCAGTTGCTCTCAGCTGCATGACAAGCCATACTGCAGCCTTTATTGATTTCTTTCCCTTTCCTACTTCAGTTCTCCACTTCTTTACTGGTGCTTCCTAGGGTAACTACAAATAAATCTTGCACTAAAACCTTTTGTCTTAGGCAACCCAAGACAGTTTGGCAAGACACATTTTACTAAGAGTTTAAAATCTTCAAGTTTTAGAATATAGGTTTGGAGAAATTTGTTCACAAAGATGAGTATGAAAGGTTTGCTTTTTTTTTTTTAAATAGGGAAGATTTACTAAAACAAATTTTATTTTTTATTGATAAAACACAAGGTAGGTACTAAAAAAGGGAATAGATAGCTAGTTTCTGTTTGGAGGCCAGAGGTCAAAATGAGTCTGGATAAGTGTCTCTGTTTTATACTGAAAATAGGCATCACTGATGTTTAAAACCCCAAATATAAATACCTAGGTGTCATTTTAGCATGCGATTTATTTTTAATACTAAAATTTGTTCTAGGTTTATATTGTACTTTTACTTTCAATTTGAACTGTGTTCTTGGCAACACCAAACATAAAAGTAAATCTAGTTCAAGAAACAGAAAGGACTAGGGAAAAAATACAGATGCAAGCAAGAGATAATAGGATAGCGTATTCCAAGCATTTTCTTATTCCTGAATAATAGGTTTTTATTGTAGTTTTGCCCATAGAATTCTGCTGACAAAATTTTTTTTTATTTCAGGGAAGGTTTGATTAAAAAGAAACCAGAGAATCTCATCAAATTGATTGGATTCCATGCCTTTGCTGACTCATCTGATCACTGTTATTTCAGTGCTTTAAAAATGTTTTCTCAAATATATTGTAATGTAGAATAGAGTTTTCGTAACTTAAATCATCTTGGGTACCATATTTTATATTAATAATGACATATGCATTAAGCATAAGTGCTTTTCCTAAAACTCTCTTTTCCCCTTTCTTTATAGAATGCTGCCTTTTTATATGGTCTTGGTTTGGTCTACTTCCATTACAATGCATTTCAGTGGTAAGTTGACATAAAACTAATAAGTCCAGTTATTTCCAGTGAATGACTTGTTTTTGTTCTTGGTGTGTTTTGTTTGATATACAGTGTGGGTAAAAAGTAGGTTTATAGTTGTGAATATGTGAAACAGAATTTATTCTTGCATTATTACTTATTATTGTATTATTTTTCATATGAACAACTGTAAATCTACTTTTGCCCCACCCCATATTGTGTGTGTAATAAATACAACATATTTTAATGTCCCTATGCCTACATTTTTCAATAATCTCTTAAAATGATTAGATATTCCTTCAGAGAGATATTGAACCACTTCACATATAATAGTTGTATGTGTCCCTGAAAGAATCCGGCATGAGATTATAATTAAAGAAGGCTTAGATTAGAAAGCTGTTAGAATTTCTCAGGTCTTCATTATGGACCAGTGATCCCCAGGTTATTTGAACTGGGGAATGACTTGCACTGTGATAGAGAGATCTATGGATAAACTATCTGTGATGACCAGTACTTTTACCTTTTCAGACTTTTAGACAAGATTGACTACTCCCTCCCCTTCTTCTCCCCAACACACAGGCAATAGGAGGGAAAAAAGTATCCCAATGTCTGGAGTGATTATTCGAAGATTGGCTAGAGAGTGCAAAAGAGCCAGGAGGTAGTAATACATTAGCAAATGCCAATGTGAATAACTCAGTGTATGATACTTCTAATTTAGCCTCACATTTAAGGTCCTCTCTGGTTCAACCTCAAATGATCCTTTTAGCCTCACTGCTCCCTTAGCTAAATATGTTCTTTATGTCAGCCACACTGTATTATCATTTCCCTGAAAACATCCTGAGCATTTTTTAACCTATGTAACCTTGTTCGTGCCATCTACTCTGTTTGGTCTGCCTTTTCTTTCCATGTCCACCTTTAAAAATCTTACCTGTCTCTTTGATTACTTCATCAAATCTATTTGTGTAACTTAAAAGGAACCTCTAAATTTCCTAATATATGTGTGTGGAACTATATATCTGTTATATACATATAAAATGTTATTACTGATTCAGAGCTAGAATACTATCCCTTTTAGATATTCCTGAGGGAACTCTCTGGACTCAGCAGCTTTATTAGCCTCAGAGAACTGAGTTTTATGGTCTCTTCCCAAATGTACTGAAACTGTGCTAAGGCCATTTAGTTAATATCATTTTTGATATAGTTTTAAAGGAGGCTTTTTAAATGACTTTCTTGAAATCTTATTAAAAGTGACCATTGTTTTAAAATATATTTAGCACATGCATGTTTTTCATAGGTAGTGCTATTGAGGGTTTAGCTTTCTATCATTTATTCTTTTAAATTGTTAACAACGGCACACACTAAATGCAAAAAAATTTTTCTATCATTTCTTTTTTTAAATTGTTAACAATGGCACACATTAAATGCAAAAAAAATTTAAGCTGAAAATCTATAGAAATAATTGTGGTGATATAAAAAAAATCTTTTTAAATTTTAAGAAAAAATGCAATGATACTCATGCACAGCAATATGAACTTTTTTTGTATCAGTAGAGAATATGCTCTAATATTTGAAAACTACAAACCTTTCCACACATTGTATCAAAAGTATTTTATAGTTTTCCTTAGCTATTTCTCATGTTCTAAAATTCTCTCAATCAGAATTTGTATGCTTTGGTGTTTTAGTTTAGCTTCTGCTATAGAGATCATGTTCTGGCTGCATGCAGTTTGGTGATATGAATGTGGTAAAATGATGACCAAATTTAAAATGTAGTCTGAGTGTTATCTATTTTCTTCACGTACTCCCCCCCAACACACACACACACACACACACACACACACACACAACACACCACACACTTTCCCCCCTTTTTTATTCCTTTGTTTCCCTCAGGTGGGAAAAAATGAAGAAGCACACAGGAGATAAAACATTAGTAAAAGTTTAGAAAATAAAATGAAAGTGAACTTAGATATATTTTGCTAGATGAGGGGAACTGGTTTAGTAAAGAGACTGTGGAGTGTCCCTTCCCTCCCAACACACACACACACACACACACACACACAATTTAATCAGCCAACTATGAAAGTGATGGCATCAGCAAACACCTATTAAACATTTTACTGTATTGTTTAGAACATTAAAAATAGGAATGCACAACTGAAGGAATAGACTACTTGGAAAAACTGGAGCTGGCCAACCTCCCGCGGCCCCTCCCCCAGAGCGATCACTGGCCAGGCCAGGGTACCCCACCCATGCACAGATTTGTGCACCAGGCCTCTAGTTTTAATATAAAATATTATTTGAATAATTGAGAATAAATTTAACTGATCTTCCTTTTCATCTTTTGTATTAAACTGGAGGCGTGGTGCACAACATTCATGCACTCGGTGTGTGGCGGGGTGGTGGTTCCTCAGCCCAGCCTGCGCCCTTTAGCAGTCCAGGAGCCCTTGGGGGATGTCCGACTGACGGCTTTGGACATCCTTAGTGCTGCTGCAGAGGCGGGAGAGGCTCCCGCCACCGCTGCTGCGCTTGCCAGCGGTCAGCCTGGTTTGTGGCTGAGTGGCCCTCCCCCTGTGGGAATGCACTGACCACCAGGGGGCAGCTCCTGTGTTGAGCATCTGCCCCCTGGTGGTCAGTGTGCATCATAGCAACCAGTTCCTCCATTTGATCGATTTGCATATTGCCTTTTTATTATATAGGATTACATTCAATTATATGAAAGACCCAGATGCCCCTTTGCAGTCTTTTTTTAAAAAAACTCTTCATTCACATCATTTTTATAAAACTGCATTTCTTTTTAACAATATTGTGTAAATCATAAGTTTTACTGTGCCACCAAGCAAAAATTCATGCAAATGTTAAAAAGTTAAGCTATCTTATGTCTGTATTCTTTCAGGGCAATTAAAGCATTTCAGGAGGTGCTTTATGTTGATCCCAGCTTTTGTCGAGCCAAGGAAATTCATTTACGACTTGGGCTTATGTTCAAAGTGAACACAGACTATGAGTCTAGTTTAAAGGTAGGTTGTGGTATTTCTCTAAGACACAATGTTTCATTTGCGGGGAGGGGGTTGTTAAATGTTAGAGCATTGAGAAATGTTGGAATTTATATCAGCACCTCAAAAGAAAATTTGAAAATTTAAGTGAAAGAACTATTTATCAGCTGTGAACTGGAAAGATACAAATGTTGGGGTTTCAGGGCACAAAGTAGTTATTATGCTAAAACATAGGTAATTAATTACACATCATTTAACTTTTCTGGGGGGGAGGTTAAAGTTTTGAGGTTTGCTATCAGGAAAGGGTGAAGGTTTCAATTTCAGTTTGGACATTGGAAACACTTCTCTATAAGCAATTGGCCACCATAGAGGTCAGAAGCAGCTACCTAATGGTGGTATGACCAAATCATTCACCATTTATTGGTATTTGTTTCACTAGAAATCTTTCCACCTTTACCAGTAGGGCATATCTCATATAGAAAATATTTTTAAAAGTGTTCTCCAAAAGTCAGTTGTACTGTTGGTGGATCAGTATAAACGTTATTGGGAAAAGATAATACATTGTTGGTTAAGTATTTCACTTTCTATGGAAATTTGATATTTCTCAAATTTTTCATTGAGCTTCTTTTGCTATCTGTGCCATCACTTTAGGTCTCACTGGGATTTTCATGAATATAGTGCTTCCCTGCATGACGAAAGTGTTGCTTTTTGAAAGGAATCAAAGTTCCAGAGAAAAGCTTAAGTTTTTGTGAATTTATGGCCATAATGGTTGCCATGTTCTAAATAGCTCTGATGGATACTGTCTTGATTCTGAAGGGAGGGAGATAAAGAATGACTGTACAGTAGGTTGTAATTTGAATTCACTAATAAGGAATTACTGAAAGTTTTTTTTTTAAACTGGATTTAAGAGTACCTAATTCTTCTAGAGTTTTAAAGTAGACTACAAATACAGTTTTTATCTTTCATGAGTTTATAAAGCACAATGCTGATGATAACAAAATGAGAGACAACCAAAAACACTAAAACAAGTAGATTGTGAACTATTTAGATCACATAGTTGTCAAAGGTAAGTGCAGTTTGAAGAATAGGCCTGAGGATAAGTGTAAGTAGTGTGAAGAATAAGGAATGCCTGGAAGTTACCAGTTTTTCCTCAAGCTTACAGCAGCATTTCTCAGGCTATATTATGGGATATGAATGGATTAGAAATGGAAAATAAAGTTTAAATGTGCCACCTTGCATATTTTACCCCCTCTTGGACATTCACAGTGTATATTAGCTAACAAAGACTCTTTTTTAAAAAAAATATATTTTACTGATATTTTACAGAGAGGAAGGGAGAGAGATAGAGAGTTAGAAACATCGATGAGAGGAGAGAGAAACATCAATCAGCTGCCTCCTGCACACCCCCCACTGGGGATGTGCCCGCAACCCAGGCACATGCCCCTGACCGGAACCGAACCCGGGACCCTTCAGTCCGCAGGCCGACGCTCTATCCACTGAGCCAAACCGGTTTTGGCAAGACTCTTAAAAAAATAAAATTATTTGAGTATTTTACAATGCTGTCACAACTCCTATTATGTGTGGAACAAGTGTCTTGGGTAGTAGATTGGTAAATGTTGTTAGGAAATATATTTGAGTGGAAAAAAGTAATCAGATATGTCCTAAATTGTGTGAAATGTGAATATCTCTGAATATCAGTACAGTGGTATCTATATATATAAAGCGCCGGGGGCCATCGTAACCCAACAGACAACTGAACGGATGACCAAACAGGCTGAATGGGGTGACAAGGCTGGCAGGGGGGTTAGCGAGGGACAACCAAACGACTGAGCAGCAGGCTGCGTGGGGCGACCAGGCCAGCAGGGGGGTTAGTGAGGGATGACCAAACAACTGAACGGCAGGCTGTGTGGGGTGACCAGGCCGGCAGGGGGGTTAGTGAGGGATGACCAAACGACTGAACAGCAGGCTGTGTGGGGTGACCAGCCCGGTAGGGGGGGCAGTGAAGGGTGACCAGACCAGCAGAGGGGGCCAGTGAGGGGCGACCAGACTGGCAGGGGACGCAGTTGGCGG